GGACTGATATTCATCAGATGGCCAGAAGTACACCTTTTAAATGAATGGTCATGTCGCTCCGTCACTGTGTATGTCTCAATAGGCTTTATCATCTTATTATTATCTTTTTCATAAGGTGAAAATATCGCATTGCTGTGATTTTGACCTAAAACATATGAATAAAGCCAAATGTAAAATATGTCTACTTTCTGAATCTATAAATATATGTATCATGACTGTGAAAGTAGCTAGCAAACGCAATACCATTGACCGTGCATAAGCAAAATAGGTAGTAGCTATGGTTTTAACGGCAACAATACAGTTTTATTAAAGTGGACCTATCATGCTATATTTGAATAATATAGTGTAGGACCATACCTATATAAGGCATATTTATACTTTTTTTTTTTTTCATAACACCAAACAGATTTAGCCATGCCTCATTTTGCTCAATTTGACAATTTCTAGCTCTGTTTTAGCAGGGGCAGATTCAGTGAGAACAGCACCATCTACTGGCCTGGCATATGTACTACAGCGTCTCCAGCGCTTTCGAACGGCAATGGCCGTGGCTGTCTCCTCCTGATTGGTGGAGTTGGCCCAATAGCCGTAGCGCCACTGTCCTGACGTCAGGACAGTGTTCAAATCTGGATCAGTTTTTATCAGATCCGTTGCAGCCCCTTTTTTAGAGATTTGGGTATGGAGGAAAATAGAGAGGGTTGTGTTTTCTGACACTTGGTGAGTTCCCTGGAACACCGAGGACACATATTCATGTATAAAAGACGTACAAAAGTTCATTTTGCATGATAGGTCCCCTTTAAGTGGTATTGAGTTTATAAAGTCATAAAAATCTCACTTTTCTATTGCATAAGAAGGGGCCAAACTCAATGAATAAATTATCATTCACTTTGGCTCCTGTTCCACATTCATGCTTGAAGCAAAGGCATAATCATTATTACACGGATTTTAATGAGTTAAGAAGAAGACTTTGGTTATGGTATTCTGCAGCAAGGAGTAGATAACAGTTAAAATATGTGATTATAGACTATTAAAATATAGTTTCACGGTATGTATCACAATAAGTAATGGTGGTACTTAATAGGTGCTTATTTTAGCTATGTTTAAAGCTTCAGTTCTATAGAAACTGTGGTTTTGCCCAAATGCCAAAATGAGCAGCTACATGATTTTTAACTTCGAGTAAACCATTAATTTTTGGACATGCTTCTCCAAATAGTTTTTTCAATCTATAAACCTCAAACAGCATGTTGGTGTGCGTGACTAACCGGCTGCCAAAAAGCAATATCAACAGCTTAGAAACGTAGCCAGGACAGCTGGTACTGTGTGTGCAGCTGAGGACCGAGCCTGGCAACCTCGAGTATCTCAAGGAGAAAGTACCTCTCTGCTATACGAGAACAAACTGATATTTTAAATGTACTGCATTTGCATATGGCTTTGCCAGTCTTTAAAACTATCACTTTTACATTTACGAGTCAGCATTCACCCATTCATACACAGAGAGAGGCTGCTAAACAAGGTGTTACCTGCTCAGGGAGAGTAGAATTCACAAACCTTTCACCATGCCATCAGGAACAATTTAGAGTTCATTATCTTGCCCAAGGACACATCCACATGTTGGGTTGGGAATCAAACCATGGACCTTCTGATTAGTGGACGACCATCTAATTTCTGAGCCACAGCCGTTCAACTGACTCATTTTCCTGAAAAAACATGTTTGCATCAATACTTGAATGTTTATAGAGTTACATATGCCAATAAGACCCTAACCCCCTACATAGAGAGCCACAATTGTGAAATAAAATGATGAAAAATATATAAGAGACTGCTTTTAGTTACAGAAGCTAGTAGAGCAGATGCTAGGTCAGGTGTGATGCCTCTTGAAATATGCTATCAGTAAGAAATGTCAGAATTTAAATTTCAACCATTAAAAACAATAAACAAACATTCAACAGACTGTAAAGAGGTGACATTGTTGCCATTGTGTCAATGGCATCACGTTCAGAAATATCTCCTTAAATTAGCATGCTAAGCCCGTACTTACCTGTAATACTACTTGTTCCACTGGAGGCAATAGTGAGTCACTGTAGCGCTAGTCTGACCTCAGACCACAGGTAGAAGAAATACAGCTGCACCAACTTGCTTCTATACATCCATGATCCTTGCATGTTTTCATAGTTGGTTTTGACTAAATTCAAAGTGTCAACCTTTTGGTTATATAAGTTTATGCAGAATGAACCGATAAATTATCCTAATACTGGTTCCCTGCAGTTTAATATACAATGAACAACGAGATCAGCAGCTAAAATATGTTTCCCATTTCCCATAACAGATTCACTGAAACAATTGTTATGTTCAATTTACTTAATTTTATTAAGGTAAGTGGTTGCACGAAACAGATTCATCTAAATCCAGATATATTTTTTAAGTTCACTTTACTTATTATTTTTTGAGTAATTTTAACTTAATTATACTGATAATTTCAGCTCAACTATTTTGAGTATAATTTACTCTAATTTCTTGAGAAATCCCAACTAAACCCATGTCAAGTATACTAAAATGGATTATGTAACCGTAACCTTTTTTCATTTTGTACATTCAGATCAATTCAATGGTTTAATTCCTACATACAAAAATGAAGTTGAATTTAATTAAACATTATCAGCCATTATTACTATCTTAACTTTCAATATATTAAAATAAAACAAACAACATATGTGACCTGCTCCATCGAAATCAGTCGCATTGACCCTAAGACACATTTTGAGTTGTATACACTGTTGGAAAGAGGAGATTCCTAGCTTTCTAATGATATCAGGATTGTTTTTGTACTCCAAATATTAAGCAAAATATGTCACATTATATAATGACTGTCATCATTTAGAGAAAAAGGCCTTTAAAGTTTCCTCTTCTCTGGAATCCATCGATCTGATTGATTATTAGCAGAGCAAATGATCAAAATACTACGGAGGGAAGATATTTTCGTTTGGATTACTGGTCTGGGGGAAGCTCGCGAGTGTGTGTGTGTGTGTATACAGTACGTGTGTGTGTGTTTGTGTAATTTTGCGTTTGTGTGTATTGTGTTTGTTTGCCGGGGAAAACACTCACGAGAAACACCGGCTGTTGTTATGCCTGCTGTGACGTAAAGTTACTCCGTTCTCCGCTTGTAACTATGCCGTTACAAGCTTCGAAGTTGTATTTATCATCTGAATTTGCCGAAACAAGTTTAATATTCTAAAAGCCAAGACTTTGTTCAATTGAAATCAGATGAAAACAATCTGTAACGGACCCTGCCGTGTTATCTATACGCCTTACATTCACAATTTCAGCCGGAGGGAGGGGGAGCTGCGCTGAGGAACAGCAGAGTGGCGAGTGAGAGCTGTCATCTTCCCTTTACAAGCTTCAAAAATGTATTTATCATGTGATTTTGGAAATAAAAGTTTCATATTCTGAAAGCCAAGACTTTGTTTATTTAAAATCAAACAAAACACCCGAACCCCGAAAAACTATTTTTTTACGCAAATCCACGTTTATTTTGAAATGAGCCGTTGCAACTTCCGACTGATTTTGATAGAGCGGGTCACATATTTGATCAACCTGGTCTCACCAGAATGCGTGACTCCACCACGACTCCTTAACACCGCAGTGCGTGGTGGAGTCACGAACTTTGCTACATTTACGTGTCTGCACCACGCAAACAACCCCAATGTAAAGTGAATGAGGCTCCTTTGTCGTGGTGCACACACGCACTACACACTACAACGTCCAGCATTGAGCTTTTATTCTATAAAACGTTTTTAAAATCTACTTTATAGCTTGTAGTAACTCACGGGAGGCTTCTTTTATTTTATTTGTATTCATAATAATTTTTATTTTTCGTCAGAATGTATTATGGTGCATTATTCACCAATTTTTGTTCTCAAAAAACAGTGCATTGTGTGTAATACAACTGTGATTTTTATTAAATTAGTTAGTTTTTAAGGAAGGCCAGAGCTTCAGCTGTGTCAAATAGATTGTTCCCTTTAGTTAACGTTATTTAAAAGATAATTATATTCCTATTTGATCAAGTCCCCTTTATTGTATTACGGACCCAAAGAGCTGAGCGTCCATTCCCATTGGATAACGGAGGATTTTACACCCGGAAGTAAGTATTCTCCTTACTGTTGATTAATTTTATTTACAGTGATATCTGCACTACTCATCAACTCAAAAACACCAGATTATACTTATTAATTACACAACATTGATTGGTTTAAATTGTGTACAATGCTTTTGTATTTTCGGAGAAAATTTTCGATTCGGAGAAACAAATATTTGTTCATAGTGTGTGGATGGCAGAAGACACTACACCACCCAGAATCCTCAGCTATGGGACTACACCATGGTTAGTGCTAGATCGTATACCTCCTGGGTTTTAGGCGGAAGTGACGTAATCTGCCACCGAGGACAAGAGACGACGCTGGCTGCTGCCGTCTTCACACAAATAAACCCCTTAAAACCTGTATGATTTAGTTTTCACATGTTTATTGAAATGAATTCGTCCATCTCTTTATATTATAGTATTAAATGTATTATTTTCGGTTGTGTATTTGTGTTTTGAAGGTTTTTTTTGGATGTTGCGATTTAATTTCTCCAAGAGAGACAAAAAATCACTAAAAGATCTGGTGGATCTGACCAGTATTTCATCATGGAAGTTAAATCACAATCATTTCATTATCCTGTGGAGGATAATGTTGTTTTGTGACAGTTGCTCAATTTTAGAACAAACAAAATAACATACTTAATAAATAGCTAAATGTATATATATATATATATATATACACAAGAAGTAAAAGTGTGAATTTCAAGATAAGAAAAATATAATAAAAAGATTAATGTAATTATAGGAAATAAAATCAAAAATTGGCAATGCAAAATAAAATAACCATATGTATATAAACATATAAAACAAACAAGAAATGAAAGCAGAAATGTTAAATATGATTTTAAATAACAATATTTATGTTGAAATAAGAAGTGAAAGTAAAAGAGGGCAATACAACAAAGATATAATAAAATACAATTTAAAGATGTACATTAACATAGGAAGTAAGAATACAAATGTGCAATACAAGATAAATAAAAAGACTAACCTTACAGAGTTAAAGTAAAAATGTTGCAATACAAGTTGTAATTAAATAGAATAAAAATATGTATGGATAATTTAATAGGGATTATTTTTTTGTTGAGACATCAGGACCCTTCTCTACTCCCTCCACATTCATGCTGACCCGGAAGTTCAACCTCATAGCTTCCGCAAAGCAGCCTACCCTTTTTGTGAATGGGTGCTTTTGTGGTACGGTTTTCACAGGTAGGTTGGCCATCTCCTTCTTCCTTTTCTTAGGTGTGAACGTCAGAGGAAGGCTCTGATCATGTGGAGTGTGTAGCTTCACATCTTCCAAGATCTCGGTCATTTGGTCAGTTAACGTTTTAAGGTAATCTTCATCTTGCAGATGGTATGTTAAGTCAGTAATCTCACGCAAGAGACTGGCACATTCCCTTCTTTGTTTAACCTTTCTTGGTCTTTTCCTTTCGGGCAAAGCGTTACATGGTGACTGCATTTCCACTGATACCGGTGTGTATGTATGATCTGTGATGTCTGATCTGCCGCTGTCATCCCTCTCACAAGAAGTCTGTCCCAGACATGCATTATCCAGGGAGAAGAGGGGGTTATCCCTGTAATTAGATGCCAGTTTCTCCCAACCCCATTCATGCACATGATTAAAAACAGCACAGAAGTGCTTGCAGGGCAACTTGTGCTTTGCCCAGTCTTTGCAGGTGCACGATGGCATGATGATACTTTCACCAAAGTTGATGTGGTGCTGTGTGCAAGGATGACTTTGGCTTTTGACATGGAACATGCCATTGCCCTTTGCAACAACGTCATTCGCCTCATAAAACTGGGCTTCTGTAAGCCTTGACATCACATGGTCTGCTACACTTCTTGGTCTGTCTTTTAAGAACTTTGGCATGTTCTCATTGTACCTTCTGTAGAATGAGGAGTACTTGACATTGAGTTCAATGTACCTTCAATAAGAGATGAGAACAATATCTTAGAAGTCTCTCTGTGACAGTTTGCTTTCTCTGACATATAGATATGGTATTTGATAATACAATTGTCTCAGAAACATATGCAACAATGAACAACATCAAACAAATATGTTGGAAACAAAGCTATCGAACATTACATTTATATATATATAAAAATGTGTGTGTGTTTGTGTATGTATGTATGTATGTATATATAAATATATATATGTATAATCATAGTAATTCTTTTTTAGCTCACTTCCGATATGTCCTTGGTAGGAAGTCAGTTACCAACACAGTGAGCATTTCACTGAGGCTGCAGTTCTTATAACCTTCAAGATGAGAATGCTTTAGGGTTTCATTTTGTCTTTCCACCCCATTGTTGGTGTAGATGGCCACCTTGAGATCTTCATCCCGAAACACGTGCACCCATCTCTACACAAGACAAAAAAAGACAAAAAAAATTAAAAGGAAGACTCTTCAAATTCAACAAATGATATAATAAATATAATATAAAAGTAAATATAATATTTGAACTTGATACACACCTTAGCCTCTGGGAGCCACTTATTTGAAAACCACGCCCTCACTTTTTCATTGTCCTTCCAGACTTTGGCCTCCTGCAGGTTGCAAAGGCATGTGCTGAACTCCTCTGGAGTTGAAGCAGCTGCAATGCTTCTCAGAAGCGGTAGGAGACTGTCTTGTGCGTGGCTCACTCCATGATCTTTCTTCCTGCACCATTCAACCCAAGCTTTCTCCCTATGGAAGTCGCAGAGAAGCACCTTGGAACCTGGATAAAATATAAGAGATATATTACCTGCACCATGTTGTCATTTTATTTTGTCGCGTTGCTATTACATAGTATACGCGACAAAATATAGGCCTGCTTTTTATACATCTGTCTGTCAGTGGAGGTGATGACTTTATTTTGAAGTAGATTGTTGCATACATTTGCATGTAAATGGTTATATTTTGGAAGTTGGTGGAATACTATGTAAAATGTATCCTTTTTTTTAATTAACGTTTCATATTATGTGAATTAACAGATTTCTACAGTTACTGCAATTTCACCTTGAAACTCTTCCTCCAGGGCACCGATCTCTACCTCTGAGAAATCAACCATGAAGTGGCTAGGGCTCCAGTCAGGGTTCCACTCCTTAAACACCTGGAGGGCTTCTTTGACATCTGCTGTTGTCTCACTCTGGGTCACAAAGAGGCCAACCACTGCATAGCACACATTTGTACGTACACATAGGAAGAAGAGGGGAACAGAATAACGACACATCCGGTAAGTAGCATCAAGCAGGCACATCTGTTGTCCATACAGGTGGAGAAGCCTTCGCTGCCAGGCTGTCTGGTAACAAAACAGCAGCTTTGTGACAGTTCCGTCCTCCTGTAGCTGGCTTGGCCTGTACTTGATTTTGCAGTCATCAACTAACCATCTGGGCGTCAGAAGCTGTGAATGAAAGTGTAACTGGACATTATCATCATGTAGCCTCATGTCCCAAACATTAGGAACATTTGTTGTCATATCAGGGCAAAAAACAGTTTTGAAGTTTTAGTTGCATTTTGAAAAATGGTCATACCCTGCATATGAACCAAATACTGCTACTTTGCTTTGCTTACTTACACCTGCATTCAGAGGACAATGTATCATGTAAAAAAAAAAAAACTGACCATGCTTGGTGAAGTCACAAACTCTGTAAGTTGTGCATTAACCACCCACACAAACTTGCATGGCTTGAATAATATTAATACTATTCTACTCTCAGTGTATTACCTGCAGATTGACCTGGTCATTTTTGGATTCACGTATTCCCTCCTTCGTTCTTGATAAGATATTCCTGATATCCTTGTCTGTGGGGTAAAACCTCCGACGTGTTTGTGGAGGTGGCTGCTCCCCCCGGAATAGCTCGTCATTTACAAAATTGAACAGTTGACGTCTAATCTCACTAAGCTTTCTGGCACCAGCCAAGGTGAGCTTCACTATTTGTTGTTCAACTCTGGAATCCATCGGTTCACGCAGTTCAGCTACCTGTACATGACGTTGAACAGGGTAATTATAGATGTTTAAAGCTGTCTAAAGAAAGTCCTCTTTGTACAGCACAAATTGTACCTCGCATCATGTTTCTTACAGCAGCTAAAGGAATAGATTTTGCATGGTTACCTCTCCAACAGTTGGATGGTTTTGATGGTCACTTTCTGGGGTGAAGCATGTGTGGTATTCCATGACTACTTCAACTGTTGAAGGATCAGCTGCAACTACAGCCTTTAGTGCTGCTGAGAGCTCCCTCCTCTTTGCTTTACTGTTCTCTGCAATCTGGGGAATATAAAAATGACATGGCAATTGGGATCATGACACGAGAGCAATTATAGCATTGAACGCACTTGTGCTGTGCTTGTGCTGTACCTTGAAACCAGGACATTTCATGACCTGACTGACAGTTATCTGGGCAGGGCAATCCATCTTCTTCGTATTTTGTACGAGATGGCGTCTTGCATTGAAGACATGGTCTTCAAGCTAAGAGAAAAAAGGTGTATAGAAATACAATATTAATATATGTATACATTTTCATGGTCTCCTCTCCATAACGTGGAGAACATAATTTTTGCTATGGTTCTTTCTTTTGTCTTCTTTAAAATATTTGTAGGTCCTGCTAATATAACTATAGTGGGACATTATGTCATTACCCCTGCATCTGTACTGTTTGTGTCTATTTATTTTGCACATATACCATCCCCTGTTAAAATAAGTAACCAGTATAGGAAGAATTTGGTGCCAGGTCATGACCGTGAGCTGGTTGGGTTCTGTAGGTGAACAAAGGAAGGATATCCCCCTTTATTTTGTCTCAGAAGAGGCCATTGAATTTCGTTTCCTATTCCTCTAAAGTTTAAACGACTTATGTATTTACATAATGCTGATTCCTATGTTGTTATGTGTCACAGTGTTATGTGTCATAGAATGCCACATAATGCATGTCATATTACGAATAGTTGTTTAATTTTCCTTTACCAATTATTTTAAGTTGTTAATGCATGTAAATTCATAAATATACCGCTTGTTTCTCTTTTTGTGCATGGTACTTCTCCTTTTGCCGAGTACACCTGTCCTTTCCCTGGTGGCATCCATATATCTTGGTGCCCACGAGTTGGAATGGCACCCCATCATATGGTACACATTTCAACTGCCAGTATATCTTTTTCCCTGGTGAAGGTTGCACGTCTGTATTGAAACATTTGTGACAAAAATACATATTTCATATGGTACACATTTCAACTGCCAGTATATCTTTTCCCCTGGTGAAGGCTGCACGTCTGTATTGAAACATTTGTGACAAAAATATACATTTTATCCATAAAAGATGTATTAACACTGGTCAGTTTAGATTTGGAAAGACACTCGGAATTTGAAATGTCTTAAGTAACTTTACGCCTGATAATTCAACCTGTTGCTGAATGTACAGTAAAGTTTCACGTATTTTTCGCTTTTATCAGTTATGTAGAAAGCTGAAACTACCAACCTATAATTCAGTTGTTGTAGGCATTAAAACACAGAACACCAAAATAAACATTTTAGTGGTGTGAACGCTCGTGAACTGTCAAGAGGAGGGCGGGGGAGCCTCGCTGCGGGGAAACTGTGGACCTCTGTCAGCGCAACTTAAATGATGCCGTTTAAAAGATGAATAAATTCACGGCTCGAACCGAGCCGTTCTGTGCCCCGTCTTATATATGTAATACTTATACTTATATACTTATACTTATATATTATTATACTTATATACTTAGGCCTATATAAGGCCTACTTAATATTTGATTACTGACACAATGTAGGCTACTTGGTCATCGTTGTTTCTTCAATTTCCGATCTAACTTTACAAACTTACTATTTTCCCCGAAAACCTGTTCCTTTTTGTACACAATATACTTTGTGATCGTTGTTTCTTCAACGTCTGCTAACGCTTCCTCGAAATCCTTAAGTGTTTGAAAGATTTTATGTGAAAGCATCCTGTTTGTTGCGCGTTGGCATCCTTGACAGACTTGTCTGTTGGAGGCTCGCGAGCGCAACAAAAGTTGCCGTCTCATCCACGACCACTATTACGTCACTTCCGCCGCATAAAACCCAGGAGGTATACGATCTAGCACTAACCACTACACCATGTGCTTAGAACGTGTCCTACCCCCCCCCCCCCCCTTAGGTCACAGGCTCCTCCAACAGTGCAACACAATAAAACAGATACACAGACAAAATAGTGCAGTAAATACAAAAATAAAAATAGTAAAAAGTGAAATAGTGCAATAAGAGTCTATATACAAGTGATTGAATATGATATAGTAGATAAATAATTTCTAAGTAGCAGCCAGATGAATGTTATGGATGTTGTTTCAAAGTCCAGGTGTTTAATAGTCTTCTGGCCTGTGGGATGAAGCTGTCCCTGAGTCTGGTGGTTTTAGTCCGGATGCTGCGGTACCGCCTGCCAGACGGCAGCAGACAGAACAGTTTGTGGCTGGGGTGATGGGGGTCTTTTATAATCCTGAGGGCTTTCTTTAAGGTTAACCTGGTATTTTTACTCCACTACATTTATTTGAGTTACTTTACAGATTTGGATTAATGATGTGAAATATAAACAACCCTTAAATCAGACTTTAGTTACACCTGAGTAAAATTCAGTGAATTCAGCCAACAATCAGTCGAGATATTTGGTAGTGGGTGCTTGAGAAGACTAAATATTTATCTGCAGATCCCTATAAAGCATATTCATTACTCGTTATTCTCAATGGGAATGGACCCTCAGCTCTTTGGGTCCGTAATACAATAAAGGGGACTTGATCAAATAGGAATATAATTATCTTTTAAATAACGTTAACTAAAGGGAACAATCTATTTGACACAGCTGAAGCTCTGGCCTTCCTTAAAAACTAACTCATTTAATAAAAATAACAGTTGTATTACACACAATGCACTGTTTTTTGAGAACAAAAATTGGTAACTAATGCACCATAATACATTCTGACGAAAAATAAAAATTATTATGAATACAAATAAAATAAAAGAAGCCTCCTGTGAGTTACTACAAGCTATAAAGTAGATTTTAAAAACGTTTTATAGAATAAAAGCTCAATGCTGGACGTTGTAGAAATGTGTGTGTGCACCACGACAAAGGAGCCTCATTCACTTTACATTGGGGTTGTTTGCGTGGTGCAGACACGTAAATGTAGCAAAGTTCGTGACTCCACCACGCAATGCGGTGTTAAGGAGTCGTGGTGGAGTCACGCATTCTGGTGAGACCAGGTTGTATTTGATACATACTCTTACTCCCATGTCATGCTTTTCCGGTTATTACCCGTCCCCTTGTGTGTTATGAAGGTTTTTATGCATGTAAACGGTCTGCAGAGTCAAAAACCCTCAAAGTACACCCTGTAGGGAGTAAAACTCTAACACAGTCTATGCTGCCCCAAAACGCCTCTTTGGAGATTTCTCATTTTCCATTAGCCGCGTTCACACCAAGTACTTTCCTGTACTTAGTTCCGGCACTAAGAGCCCTGGCGCTTTTAACCCCAGGGCACTTAGTACAGATCGCGTTCACACCAGAGTACTTTTCCCTGAGGGAAGATTACGCAAATGAGCTTCTGACGTCACTTCTTCTTCTTCTGCGTTGGCTTTACTGGCAGGCCACAAACCACTTCACGGCGAGTACAGTAGGTGGCGGTAAGCACCTTAAAGTTGTTTGCAATCCGCTACAAAACAAGAGGAGAAGAAGAAGAACTTCTTCCCGCGTATACTGTCTGTTGTTTACCTTCCGACCTCAGACATGATGGAGTCGACTGAAGTTGTGCTGTTTGTGCTCATGCTATACAGCTTTGTGACTTCGTTAATGCGGCCTGAGCCTATTCGGATCCGGAGCCGCCACACGTCGAATGCTATGGCAAACTTTAGTCAGCAACAAAGGCGGTTTAAAAGCCTTAGGAAAAGGATTGGCCAACGGAAAGCACACATGACTGCCATGTTTCACCGTCGGATGGCTGATGACGATGAGCGTTTTCACGCCCTAAGAACAGCAATGGTAAGTTCAGTAAATTATTAATACTATCTAATGTAGGATTTGTGGAGTTATGTAGAGCTAATTTGCGCCTTTGTATGTGTTCCAGATATGCAAATACTACGGGACGCGTCGTGTCCCGCGCTCTCTCTGGGTGAACAATAGAACCTCAGCCTGGTGGGAGAAGGTGGTGCCGACGTACACCGATGTGCAGTGGATCCAAGATTTCAGAATGTCCAAGCACTCTTTCCAATACCTCTGTAGTCGCCTGGAAGCAACGTTGGGGAGAAGCGACACCAACTTCCGGGAGTGTGTCCCTGTGGCTAAAAAAATCGCCATAGCACTGTGGAAACTTGCGACCAACTCTGAGTACAGGACCATCTCTCATTTGTTTGGAGTCGGCAAATCTACAGTGTGTTACTGTGTGCACGAGTTCTGCTCCTCTGTTGTGAGCATACTCCTTTGTGAGTTCATGCCATGGCCGAACGCTGAGAAGTTAGAGGAGATGGCGTTATTTTTTGACCGCAGATGGGGTGTGCCACAGTGTGTAGGTGCAGTAGATGGATCACACATCCCCATTCTGAGACCAGAGGAATACCACAACGAGTATTTCAACCGCAAAGGCTGGCACTCGCTCGTCCTGCAGGGTGTTGTGGATGGTAGAGGCCTCTTTTGGAATGTTTTTGTTGGCTTACCAGGGAGCATGCATGATAGCAGAGTGTTTGGCATGTCATCACTGTGTAGTTTTGCGGATAAGGGTGGTCTACTTCCTCATGTAACAAAGACTATTGGTGGACATGATGTGGGTTACTATATCCTTGGTGACTCAGCCTACACCCTGCAAAGATGGCTGATGAAACCTTTCCAAGGAAGGCTCACACCCGAGCAACTTGTGTACAATCACAAAACAAGCCGAGCACGAGTGGTGGTGGAGAACGCTTTTGGCAGATTGAAGGGCAGGTGGCGGTGCCTGATGAAAAGAAACGACTGCAAGATGGACAAGATAAAAATCCAGGTGGCAGCATGTTGCGTGTTACATAACCTCTGTGAAAGTAATGATGATGAGTACAGGGACGAATGGACTGCCTTACCGGCGACCCAGCTTGATGGGCCAGCGCCAGCCATTGCCGAGGCTGGGGGGCAAGACACACGCACAGCCCTTATGAGGCATCTGAACAGCATGTAAATTGTACATTCTAAACAATAAATGTAAACATTATTGACAATAAAGCTGATCATTTCTACGGTGCTTTTGTTTCTCTCTTTCATTTTGCAGTCAAGACAGGCAACATTACAATAGTGTAATAGTAGCCAAAACTAACATACATGTTAGTAACTAAAGTGTCAGTTGTACATGTCACTAAACATTGTCAATATAAAATAAAGTGTCAGTTGTACTATATAATAACAGTAATAACAATATAAAATAAGGATCTGTTTAATCGCCATGTCGGTTTTCTTTATTGCACTCTCAAGACATAACATGAAATAGAACAATTTTTATGTCGTAACTCTTCAATTATACGGCTCTGCTGTCAACAAATCTTGAAAACGGAGACGAGGGGAATGTAGAAATCGGTAAATCACTTCAGAAATGTATTGATAATTGTTCTGCTTTTTAATGTAAACTTGAATTCATAGTAAACTAGCTGCTTTTGAGCACTTTACTTTTTACATGGGCCATTTTGAACATGACGTGACTGTATTCAAACTAAGTCACCATCTACCCCTAGTTTCATTTGGTGCATCAGTTTTTATTTGCCCTATGATGATACTAACCTAGCATTCACAACCCTAGTGTTTTATAGTTTCATTTTGGAAATAAAAACATAAAAAATGGAAACTTTCATGTCATTTTTGGCCCATAGTGGACTCCATGTTGTGTTGTGTGAAATGTGGGGGAATTAAAAGTTTTGGTCAAATATTTAAAATGATATAAATTATCATATTTGTGTATGTGCCGCTGCCATTCCTCCACAAGGTTGATGATAAATAAATGACAAATAAAGCTTTGCCAGTTTATAACCGATGAAACATGATGGTATCAGAATACTCACTTACATGTGATGTATAGCATGCTACACAGGTCACTAAAGATAAAGTGTCAGAAATAAGCAAGATGATTTAATCGCCATGTTGGTTTTATTTATTGCAGCATATGACATAACATGAAATTAGAACAATTTTGTTATGTAAATAAAGTGTCAAAGTGTCAGTTGGACATTATATAAAAAATAAAGTGAAAACAGCAATAATATAAAACTTAACTTAACTAAACTATGCATAGGCTCAGCAGCAGACATTAACAGGGGCCACTATTTGGAGGAAGACCTGTTGGCTTTCACTAGCTGGGAAAGCACTTCCAGAAACCCAGTGTGAAATGCCGCTTGTCGCTCATCCTGCCGCTCCTGGCGCAGCTCCTGGCGCCGCGCCAACGCTTCATCCTGGTGCCGCTGGCGCTCCATCTGCTGCTCCATCGAGGTGAGCATTCTGGCCTCCGCTTCCTGGGTCTGGCTGGTCCTCCAACGCCTGGATGGTCTCGAGGAAAAGTGCATCCTGTGTCCGCTTTCCTAAGAGGGGAAAATAAGCAAGATACAAGATCAACAACCAGAGACATACATCATGTATTTTTTAGCTGCCTGGATTATAACAGACAAAGACTCATTCTGATAACTGCACTGGAACAACTCAACGTCAAGGACATGGATTTCAAGTCAATATATGAAAGTAAATCAAGAAATGAAGCAAACAAGCTGATCTTCAAATTCTTCAAAAGCACTGGTCTGGGGACAAGGATTTAATAAATCAACAGTAGGTGGCGATATATGCTCCAAGTGGAAGCGATTTCTTACCGGAAGTCATGTGACCTCTAGCCCGGATGTTTACAATGTTTGTAAGAGAGTAAAAAGGCGCGAAATGTTCTCTTTCACGCTGTTTCATAATTGTACCAAGAAAGAAGGAAATAAACATGATTGTGAACATCTATGCGTAACGTTCTTTCAAGACAAAGTTACAGTGTGTTTACCTTTGCGTTTTGTTGCCGGTAAGGGGGACGAGCAAGCGAG